GTATTTCAGTAGATCTGCCTGTTCTGCTCCCCACTCTATCTCTGATGAATGCTCTCACAAACACAGACCCTGCCTCTCTGGCCTACACCCCAGTTCTTGTATGCATAAATAAATAAATCTTTAAAAAAAAATTAAAAGATCACTTCCACCAAGATTCTTTCCCAGTATTGCAATGTCTGGTGGGGTAAGCAGGTGACTCTTTCACAGGACAGAACATCTGAAGAGGCTTTAGGAAACCTGTGTGCCCTGGACCATTTCATCTTTCTGAGGCTTCATCATGCAAAACATGGACTGTAATTCTTAGCGTTTAGGTGATGACAAGCTGTGATCATGCAAGTGATGATTGTTTATGAATTAGAGATGGAATCTGAGGAAGGCAGAGCAGGACAGCAAACGCTTCCAGCTTGAGGTTCTGGAGTTCCTGCAGGATAAAGTCCTGCGCTACAAGGTAGCAACAGGGTGACTATGCCTGAGTTACTTCACAACTCTGAATATCATCGCCCACATCTATACATTGGGGAGAGTAAGGTGCTTACTCCAGAGAGTGTTGGGAGGACAAAATTAAGCATCCCTTAGTCTTGGCACAGAGCCTGACACCTGCTGAGGTGTCACTAGCTACTGCTTTTTGTTGATTTACCACTACGGTTAAGACCATTTAAGGTATTAGACCACATAAGGCAGTAACAAAGCCTTGGGCTCTAAGTTGGGTGCATGGTGATGCCACACTGGGTGGAAGGAAACTGCAACCTTTTCACCTACAAAGTGGGATGAGTGCTATTTCCCTGTGCAGCTAGAATGGAACAGAGTTTTGGAAGGTCTACACAAAGGAAGTTGCTCAGATGGAAGAGCCAAGTCTGCTCCAGAGATGGGTAAGCTGAGGGATGGAGCTCTCCGGCGTTTCCCAGCAGGTGAGAGGTGAGCAAAGCTGGGTGAGAGCTCAGGACCCTGCCATTGCCTGGACAAAGGCTGGCTGCTGGAGGAATGCCCCAGGGAGGTCAGGCCATCAGAAATGGGGTGATTCCCACTCAACACACACAAAAGACCTCAGAACATAGGGTTTACATGGAAAAGCCTCTTGGAGTCATGCTGCCTGGGCTCAGGTCCTGGCCCTGAAATGTACCAGGGCTGTGAAATGTACCAGGGCTGACAGTTTGAGGGTCCAAATTGTCAGCAGTTTAAAATTGTCAGCCCTGTGCTTCACATGCACACACTAAGCATTATTGGAAGTCTTTAAAATAAACGTATATGAAATAAAAATATAAATGGTTACCCAATAAATAACTTACATGGAGCCTCTTCACTCAATGAGCATGTGCAGCCAAGGAGAGATGAGACCGAGGGGTGTCTGCTCGTCCCCCAGGAGGCATCTCGCTGGCAGTGAGCACGTCTCCCCAAGCCAAGCGCCATGTCAGTATTTGAAGTTTCACATTCCCACCCCTCACCGAACAACACAGTCCAAAGACACAAAACAAGCAGTGGGTTCCATCCCTGGCCCTGCTGAATGGTAAAACTCTCCAACCTGGGGCATTCACCCCATGCAAGATCAGGAGCCACGGAACTCACCTGTCCTATGCTCTCTCTGCCTTTAACCTCTCTGGCCTGGCATGTGAGGCTCCTTGAGGGAATGCAGAACATGACACCATTTTCGTGTCAAGTGAGCCCTACCATCTGATTCCAGAAAGCACATCGACATACAAGGGAGGAGAGGTGGCTCAATATTAAAAGGAATGACCTCAAATTCACCTTGCCTTGTCATTTTTTCAAGCAATAAATTACAAACGAAGATATTATACCTTAACGAATATTAGTCACAAATGACTAACTTCCTGCAATCTCAACACATCCAACTGAAAAGGAAAACTGCTGCTCCAAGTCAGTCCAGCCTCCACCTTGAGAACAAGATCTCCATGTGGGTCTATCCTTGTCAATTAACCAGAAACTGTCCTCCCTCTAGTGACATCTGTGAGTTGACCTGGGTCCACCAGTGGGCAAAGCAGCAGGCATGGGAATAAAGGGTACACAGGTTTAAGAGTCTGTTTCTGCCACCCCTTGAGTACCTTTAGGACCAAACACCTCTGGCCCCCATTAAATTCAGCGATCTGGTCTAGAGAGGGGTAAACCCCTCCTTCCTAGTCTTTGCCAAGTCCCCATATAATGTGCATTACTGCTCACTTAATACTTTTCTTTCCACTGACTGTCCGCTTACTCAAAGCTTATATTTACGCAGAAAGCTTCACTCACCATAGAAAGCTAATAATGAACCAATCCATGAAGACTCTTCTATAAAGGGAAAGAACCAAGCTTTAGTTTCCCTTTTCTATATGAACTGCCCCACCAGGGAACCAGGCCATAGATGAGGGGAGACCTCTCTTTATAAAAGCATTTCAAGTGGGCCTCCCCGGTGGCGCAATGGTTGAGCGCGGGGTTGCGAAGCTGCCCGCAGCCTCTGCATCGCCGGTTCGATCCCCAGCTGCTCCCCGGCCACCAGAGGAGGGTCCCACATGGCGCGCAGACCTCTCCTGCCGCCCGCTGCTCCCCTCAGCAGTGTACCTCAGTCCTTCTGCCTGCTCTGCTCCCGCTCTGGCTCTGGTGCTCTGGTGAATTCTCTCACCCTCCCACACTTCTGACTGTACCCAGTGCATGTATAACCAACCAACCAACCAACCAACCAAATAAATAAATAAATAAAGCATGCCTCTATAAAAAAAAAAAAAAAAAAAAAAAAAAAAGCATTTCAAGTGAAAAATGAAAAAGAGATGATATGGGGGGAGGGGCAGGGAAAGGAAGGACTAGAGTCAAAATAAGGGGGGTGCAATTGTAGGGGGAATATAACCAAAATGAAAATGCATACATTGTACAAAGATGAAAAAAGATGTAAGAATTATATAAAACAAAATATTTAAATAAAAAAAAGAAGAAGAGATGATGGAATTCGGATACTACCATCTTACCATGTTAGTGAATCAATAGACCCAGGTACAGAGCATCAGCACTTGGCAACATCACCAGAAGAGAGTGAGTGGACACTATGTGCTTTCGAATGAAAGCACACACACCCTCCTACAGTCTTGCCGAGTCTGCCAGAGCCTCTGTGCTCAACTACTGATTTGCATAAGGACAGAGGACAGAGGAAATGTGTGGAGATGCCCAAAATCCAGACCATGGAAATGCTCTGAGTCAAGCAGCCCAAGATCTTCAACAAGAAATAAGAATGGGAGGGGAGAGGTGGAATCACTATATTCAAAGACGTAGAGACATCAAATGTCTACAAGTGGAGAAGATTAAACCATGGTAGCAGGGTCTCCCTGGGGGCCTAGGGATTAAGCCTCAGCACTATCACTGCCATGGCCTGAGTTCCATCCTTGCCAGGGAGCTACCCACATGGCGCAGCAGACCTCTCCTGTACGCCCTCTGCTCTCCTCAGCAGTGTATTTCAGTCAATCCACCTGTTCTGCTCCCTGCCCTGTTCTGGTGAATTCTCTCATCCCCCGCACATCTGGACTACACCCCAGTTCTTCTGAAAACAATAGATTAAACTACGGTTGTGACAAGACTGTAATGACATATGAAGAGGTCAAGCAGCCACTGGAAGGAGATTGAGATTAGAATGCAGAGAAGGACCTCCCTGGTGGCACGAGGGGTTAAGGTGCAACCTATGAAGCTATCCATAGCCACTGAAGCATGAGTTCAGTCCCCAGCCAGGGAGCTACCCACATGGTGCAGCAGACCTCTCCTGACTCGCCCGCTGCTCCCCTCAGCAGTGTATTTCAGTCAGTCTGCCTGTTCTGCTCCCCACTCTGTCTCTGGTAAATTCTCTCATGCCACACATGAGAGAGGCCTGTACCCCAGTTCTTATATGCATAAATAAATAAATCTTTAAAAAAAAATAGAATGCAGCCATTCAGGCTCCCAGACCTGAATGGTGGTCTAAGAAATGCAACCTTGTAAGAACTCATTACCACAACAGCTATTTTACGTGGCTTTCTATATTTGTTTTTTAATATCTCTGTTCAAATCTAAGAACTAAAAGACTTACAGTGCTGTCATAATGGAAGAAATCTGTAAAACAATATATAAACAAAAAGCCAAGCAATGATTTAGAAACTGCTATTTTCTAAAGCCCAGAGCCAGAAGCCTGATCCTCTCTCTTTGTTAAGATGTGACAGGCTTGCTAGCACGGAGAGCCAGTGTTCTCTCCCTGAATGCTCAGAAGACTTTAAAGAGAATTGCAAGGGGCATGTAATTTAAAATCTATACCCTCCCACCCCCGCCCAGAATTACCCTTAATACTGCCCGGGTCCATTTCACATAGCAGCACATGCTCCTTACCTGGGCAAACACTATTCCAGCATTTGATTCTGTCTGCAGTAGCACAAACGACATTCTGGGAAAACCTTATCACTCAACAGACACCAAAAAGAGGTTGGTGAACCACTGGTCCCTCAGAGATCACTGTAAACATTTGCCTAAAATGTTTACTTCCTTGATGGCCTGTGGTAAGGAATATTGTTTGGGATTTGGAGAAACTGTTTGCAGTGGAAAATCTTTTTTTTCCACCCAAAATCAGACACCATTCTGGCAATCAGGTGTAATCTCTGGACCATCCGCCAGTCCAAATGCATGCTATCACATCACCTTTTGCATGTTTTGTCATTATTTCCTGTGCAATAAGACCATAAATATTCCCCAAATAGGACCTAGCTTACTTAATTCTTTCCCCAGCACTTGGTGAAGACCAAGGCCAATGCTAAATGTCTGTGTATTGAATAATCAATAACCAATAACCAGTGAGCATTTTCCAGGTACCAAGCACAGGTTACAGCACTCCTCGTATAATCTCATTCCTTTTTGCAACAACTACAGGACGTGGCTATGACTGTCCATCCATTTTACAGATGAAGAAACTGAGGCCCTCGCCCAGATCCCACATTACTAAGATGACTTAGAAAAGGAAAGGCGCCAAAACCCTGGGGGGGAATGGCCAGGGTCCTGACAGTTACCATGGTCTGGAAGCAGGAGTGCAGCTGGGTGAGGAACGGCGGCTTCCCAGGCAGGGCCAGCACCCGCTTCTCCACCATCGTACACTCCACATCATCGTCCTGGATCACCACGTCCTTCTTCAGGATCTTCACAGCATAGAGCTCATCTGTGCCTTTTCGCTCTGAGAGCATGACCTGGAAAAGCAGGCAAGCATGTAAGGGTGGGTGGAAGGTCCCAGGAAAGCCTCGGGCAGCTGCTAGTGCTCACTCGAATCCACACCCTGTGTTGACACTGCAACCTCAGATGATCTTTTCCATGGACCTCATACTTTGAATGGCTGTACCCCATCAGTAGAGAATGGTTCCCAGATTGATGACCTAGAAGGGATCCCTTTGGGAACATGTATCAATGCCCAACCAACATGGCCAGAATATAACCCCCATGAGGGCAGGTTTCTGTGACTGTTTGGTTCACTGGTGCAATCCAAGAGTCTGGAAATTGCCCAGAAGATATCAGAAGTTCAATAAATAGCTGTTGAATGAGGGTATGAGTGAATGCCTGCTAAAACTGTATTTGAGGGACTTGTTATCTTACTCATTAAGTTATTTAGTATTCACTCAGAGTCTTCTCGCACTGAGGATATGGTAATAACCAAGCAGATGTATTCTCCAACCTGCACTCCATAGAGGAAGACAGACCTTGGACATTAATTACAGGGATGATTGGTGCAATATATTACCATCCTCTCCTGTTGTTCTGAGGCTTCCTCCCTGTAGCTGTGATTACAATCAGGGCAAGGTAACCAGTATGGCTCATGACACATTATTATTTCCACCAGTTATGACAATGCCAGAGGGAAAAGACACCTGAAGGGACCATTCTCAAGAAACTTCTCTAGGAGTGTAGAAGAGGACCATTTGGCCCAAGGCTTCTGGAAAGGCTGGAGGAAGAAGCAGTCAGACTGAAGGAAATGCACACCACACACATTGAGATATTTTGCAAATAATATCAAAAGCCACTATATTTTTAATCTTATCAATGTGGCAATTAACAGTTTTATGTATTATTTCTCATTTACTTTACACAAGACCCCAGGAGGTAGGTACAGCAAGGACACTACTTTTCAGGAAACTCAGGTTCAGGGAAGGTAAGGAAACTGTCACATGAGCAATTCAGTTAGGGCCAGGACCAGGATCTGAACTCAGGTCTAGCTGACTCCTTCATCTCTGCCTTTAAATGTTCTACTGCTGAGTGTACCTGTTACCCTGGTTTGTTTTATTCTTGGGTTTGGTTAAACACACTCTTTTTGTTTTCCCAATGTATCACCTTTCCTAGTCTTATCTGGGATGTGGCCAGCTGGTTCAATTCATCCACTCATTTACTCATTCATTCATTCTTTCATTCAGTAGACATCAACTAGGCTATGCCAGGCACTGAGTCAGGCACTGGGGGAGGCAGAATGACAAGGTTGCTGCCCTCATTATTTATGACAGCATAAATAATGACAATGCCCATTGCAATTAAACCTCTGACACAGAAATGCACTGTGTTCCAGAAATGTTTCCCTGGGGACTTCACTTGATTTGATGGGTCAGCAAAAGGTGCTCTGGAGAAGTGGCAGTGAAGCTGGGACTGGAATATCAGCAGGACCAGTGAGGCAGAGATGGGGGTGGCACATTTGGAGCACAGGTAAGAGCACTGTGCTACCTTAGAATTACCTGGTTTACCTGGATCCACATATTTGGCCTAGTAGTCCTGCAAGAAGCGAGTATTCAAGCTCTAGAACTCAAATTCCAGACCCCACTCCCGGCCCTCTGAGATGCAGCAAACAATGGTCTCTGCAGAATCCGAGGATCCAGCAAACAGTACAGCGCTGGCCAGTACGAGGGAGGAGGCTGGCTGGGGACAGATTAGGGTAACCTCTCAGCTTCCTCCCTGCACTACAGTTGGCCCAGGTAGCGAGGCTACTGCTGCTGGCCCAATTTCACACTGAGGGAACCAGGACTTAGAGAAGTGTCTTGTCCAAAGTCACTCCACTCAGAAGTATCACTGCCTAGGACTCCCAGGTCCTAAATCCACTCTTAACTAAGCACCGGCTGACTCTGAGCCCTAAGCTCCATGACTTCCCCTGTCAGGCTGCTAATTGCTTCAGGGGGTTGTCACATTCGGCTCCAGAACCCAGCCCTGTTCCACCTCTTCCTACCCAACCGCCCAGTGAGGGTTGGGATCCTGCAGGCTAAAGTCATTTTCTTTTTCCATTTCTCATATAGCCATTAACAAACCATTCATTCAATTTGTGAGATGAGCTTGGTCTGCACTGCAGTCACGATCCCAGTTCATCCATCCACAAGCTTTGTGGGGACCCCGTGTGGGGGCAGGATGCTAGGCAATGGTGATGCCCACACACAGGACTGACACGTCCCTGCTTCCAAGCATGGAGGGGCCTGACAAGCTCTTATCTCCTCTACACCTGAAGCATCGGCATGGGAGAGAAAAATGGCAGAAAAATAGCCACCACCCTGGCATTGGTTCTAAATGATTCCTTTAAGTGGAAATGAACTTTTATTAATCATCTCCTGAGTTTCTGGAGTTGCCACTGCGTTGATATCAACGTGGAGGGCGTGGGCTGTTTGTTCAGCTGTCCCTCCCTCTCCAGGGGGAGGATTCCAAACAGATTGAAAGGATGTGCTGAAGTGAAGTTCTTATCAAATTCCAAGCCACATCTGTTACCAAGCATCTGGGAGAGATGTGATAAATGGCAGCACTCAAGTGACAGCAAAAAAAAAATGAAAGAAAGTAGCCTGGGGGCTCCCGGCTAAAAAGTTTATTGTGATGAACTTTACTGGTGAATCCAAATGCGAAAGGGACCTACAATTGGATCCCTGACAGTGCAGAGTCCTGGTTAGGGCACAGATTTTAGAGTTAGAAGACCTGGTGCGTGTCCAAGCTCCACCACATACTAGCTACAAGACCTGGGGAAAGCCACTAAGCTCTGAGCCTTCATTTCCTTCTCTCTGGAATCTAGACACCAACATAATAAGAGAACTTTGTGGAATAGGGTAGAAAGTACATGCCTTAACTCAGCAGTGTATTGGGCAAATACCAGGCGGTTGCACTGCTTTCTCGGGACTGGTGTAACAAAGAACCAGAAACTGGGTGGCTTCAAGCAGCAGGAATTTATTATTTCTTTGGTCTGGGGGCTGGAAGTCCGAAATCAAGGTGTTGGCTGAGCTGGTTCTCTCTAGAGGCTCCAAGGGAGAATCTGTTGCCAACTCCCCCCAGTTTCTGGGGGTGTCAGCCACCTGCAGCACTCCTTGGAGTATAGACACATCACTCTAATCGCTCCCTCTGTCTTCACATGGTGTCCATTCCTGGGCCTCTTTCTGTGTCTGTGTTCAAATCTCCTCTTATAGACACCAGTCACTGGCCCTGACCCCATTTGAACCCCTCTTAACTTGACTACCTCTGCAAAGACCCAAGACCAAATAACACTGCATTCACAGGTAACTACCACAATAGACACCATGAGCGACCCACCAAGGGGATTGCTGTGATCTTTGCAAGCCAGCACCAACCCCCAGTTGACAGCTTGCTCAGAGGACTTCCCAGAGGGAGCCGTGGGTCCATCTGCTCCCTGATAAGAGAGGGCAGAGACAGGGACCGAAGATGATGTTCCCACTTCCCCAACTTCAACAGACACCTGCCAAAGGCCCAAAGCCAAACTGAGTGCCCCCCAATTCCTCTCTCTTCCATCCCCCACCCAATGCATTAACAAGGTTCATCAGCTCTACATTCACCTCCCTCCTGGTCCGCCACCACCATCTCCAGCCCGGTCTTATGCAGTTGCCTACTAATAGACTCTCTGCCTCCACTCACTCTGTTCTCCACACAACCCAGGATTCATTTAAAAAGTCAGGAGTGTTCATGTCACTCAACCTGCCTAGAAGCTTCCCTGCCCCTCCACTCTGCTCAGCAGTTAGCTCGCTCCTCTCCCTTGACGTGGCCTCCTTGCAGTCCCCCTGACCACCATTTCTCCAGCCGCAGCCTCCTTTGTCAGTTCCGCACCCCCTTCCTCTGCTCTGTTTTCCTTCACAGCATTAATCTCACCCGGCATTTTTTTTTTAATGCAGCAACTTTGGCTTTGTCTGCAACCACAAAGGCCCACCCAGAGGTTCCTCCCATGTTCTGTCCTGCCATCTCTTCATTCACCCTTTTAGCTTTGAGGTTCCTGTGCCCACAGGGCATGTCCTTGGGAGTGCCTGTTAGCATTTGTACTTTGCCCCTACTGCAAGGAAAGTTTGGGGAGAAAGACACGGACTGAGCAGGGAGAGAGTTCCAGGAGGCCTTCTCCCAGTCATCCCTATCGACACTAAAATGACTTCCTGTGTGCATGCTTCTGCCTTTCATGAAACAGTCACAGGAAGCCTGCAACCAGGGCTTCTGAACAGGCCCTGAGCAGAGGACTTTGCTCTGTTCCAGCTACAGGGTTTCAGTAAAGACGAAGGGAGAAGGAAATTGTATACTCTGGAATTAACCATCACCTGGCATTTTTTGACCTCTGCTTGGTTATTTTCTCCCCTCACTAGAATGTAAGCTCTAGTGAGCTTGCTCACTGCCAGAGTCCCACCATCCAGCATGGAGAAGACACTCAATACTTGTCAAATGAATGAATGAAAAGATCTGGGTAAGAAAGTAACTATAAAAAACCTCAAAGCCTTTAGATTGCTTAAGATCTTCAGTTACTTAGGTCTCAGCACTGTTTAATTTATACATGGCGATTACCAATCCCATCGCAAAGAATTTGAGGTTGCAATCAGGATTATATTACAAAAAGAAGCAGATGTTGTGACATGTAAATTATACTTCAATAAAAGTACTTACAATGGTTCTAAATCATGTAGTAAACGTGTGTGTTCATCTTTTCTCTCTCTTTCTCCCCTCCTTGGAGGCCAAAACAAGCAGAGATTCACAAAGCATAGCAAACATTCCTATTTTCTATAATGAAAATAATTTCTGAGATGGAAATAAACTTACCCTGGGACTTAGGTCTAAAACCGAACACGCAGTGCGGTGACAGGTGATGTTCTTAATAACATCCCTACAGCAGGGTCAGAAGAGGAGGAGGAGGGAGAGCAAATCGTGCCCTGCCGGAGCCTGCAAGCTTCACTAACACAAAAGGGCTGGGGAACAGATT